ATAGTCCAAATATAAATATATTCGGACTATTATCCTCATCTTTGTTGTTATTATCACCTGATCGCCTTCTGTCTGAATTTCTATGATGAGAAGTTATTTACATTATTTATATTCGGACTATTGTCCTTATTTTTGTTGTTGTTATTAAAATGTTTGAGCCGTTAATCCACTAGGCTATTCTCCCGTATTGGTTAAGGCGTTGGTATTTGGTGACATAGTACTTATGAGTTCAATCCCCGCAGTGTGTAGTTGGACTCAGTGGAAACGGACGACATGAGCTATCCCTAGACATGAGCAGTGGAACAAGAACAGTCTACCCATGTAGATTAAACAAAGAGTTCATTTCAGAATTTCTTGTAGATTACCCAGATCGATATATACCTGAGGAAGGCCGATGGACACAATGGCCGAAAAGGTTGAGATGATAGCAACAAAGATGCGGACAATAGTCCGAATATAATTAGTGTAAATTATTGTTGCACGGGCCTCTAACACAAGGGAATTACACCGGTTCTCACTATATATAGTGCCAGTAATACCTACCCGGTGTAAGCAGCGACAGTACTACAACTGCCTAGCTGAGTAGTACCCGTTTCCTGCCTTTGTATCTGTGATGTAAAATACACTTGTTCTTTAAACCAACTTCGACTTGATTTTCTTATTTTTACTATTGTGCCACGGCACAACAATTATATAATTAACAACGTATTTACTTTATATATATGATAGCCTTATTTTGTGTACATAGCTGGCCACTCATATCCGACGATACCCGTCTACTGGTGCGGCTAACCAAACCCTATTGCAGACATTTGATTAGGCGCATTTGTGTTAATTCAACACCCACAAAGCCCACCTGTGGTTTATACTGCAACTATGCTGAGTAGGCCTTAGCTACAGTTTCTGGGAAAGAGCGTGTTATCTAGCGTGATCAACAATTTGAAAAAGGCTAGCACGCTCAAGCCCAGCACGCTCAAACACTCGGCCACGATGACTTGTGACTTCGTGCCAAGCGTCCCGTCTACCCAATTTCACTCACAAGATTTGGGTCAACCGGGTACTTTCCAAAGGTGCCGCACTTTGGGATCGACCCCTGTTGTCTGATAACATCAAGAACTCTCCTTCCTGACAAATCGCGATGACTTGTGACTTCCTGGCCAAGGATCCGGTCTACCAAAATTCACTCACAAGGTTTGGGTTAACCAGGTACTTTCCAAAGGTGCCGCACTCTGGGATCGATCCCTGCAGCCTGATAACATCAGGAAATCTCCTTCCTGACAAATCGACCATGGTGAGATTCGAACCCGGGTCTCATGGTCACAATGCGAACATTCTAACCTCTCGGTCACGTCCCTATATTTTGTCAGTAGCGCCTGTATTAATTCCTGACCACCAACAATCCCATCCTTTCTTATTTTCAGCCTTTTTCCTATAGCGAATTAGTAACACATTTAAATAATACATTTAATAGCGATTTGCGTTCTCCTTTGTGTTCGAAAAAAGACTTTGGCTTGCAATTCGTCAGTGGATCTGGATGAATTTCCAAAACACAACTCTGCGGGAAGAATCCTTTCACTGAGATAATCCCACTTTATCGGCTTAGGGAGTCATTATCCGGTGGTATTAGGAATCGGTGATCGCCAGCCTATCGTAGATGACCATGACTTTCTATGTGACACATCTATACTCTGTCGCACCCGACAGCACTTGTTGACATTGCCTACACGGCAGTTGTATCTGTACGAAATCTCATCCGTCCAGTATGTCGAGAATCGATTTACACATGAAATAGGGCATTTTGTCAATAATGCATGCATTAATTTCGAACATTCTCTCAAATTTTCAACGTATTTTTCTAATAAAATGATTAATAATGAATTTATATTATATTTCATTCTCTGATGAATGCGAAATATGTTAGATTTATAAAAGTTTCCTTTTTGTTCTTTATCCCATCATTCTTTTAAATTCCGTTCCATACTTTATACGTATTTGATCCTATATAAAGTAATTATAAAATAATTCCCTATTTCCTACTTAAAAAATAATCCCCTATTTCCTACTTAATTATAAAATAATTCCCTATTTCCTACTTAATTATAAAATAATTCCCTATTCCGTACGTAAAAATAATCCCCTATTTCCTAATTAATCATAATTTACTACTTAAAAATAATACCCAATTTCTCACTTAATTATAAAATAATTCCCTATTTCCTAATTAAAAATAATTCCCTACTTCGTAATTAATTATAAAATGATTCCCTATTTCCTACTTACAAATAATGCCCCATTTCCTACTTAATTATAAAACAATCCCCTATTTCATACTTAAAAATAATTCCCTATTTCATACGTAATTATAAAATAATTCCCTATTTCCTAATTAAAAATAATGCCCTATTTCATAATTTTGTACTTAAAAATAATCCCCTATTTCTCACTTAATTATAAAATAATCCCCTATTTCCTAATTAAAAATAATTCCCTACTTCGTAATTAATTATAAAATAATTCACTATTTCCTACTTACAAATAATGCCCTATTTCCTACTTAATTATAAATTAATCGCCTATATCATATTTCAAAATAATTCCCTATATATTAATTAATTATAAAATAATTCCCTATTTCCTACTTAAAAATAATTCTCTATTTCCTACTTAATTATAAAATAATTCACTATTTCCTACTTAAAATTAATTCTCTATATCCTGATTAATTACGAAATAATTTCCTATTTCTTACTTTAAAATGATTCCCCGTTTCCTACTTAAAAATAATTCCCTATTTGCCACTTAATTATAATATAATTCCCTATTTCGCTACTCAATCCTAAAAAATGAATACGCTTAAGTAAATATAATAGAAAAATTGTATAGTCTGTGCGAAGACATAATGCAAGCCCCTGCATATGCAGATGTCAGGTGTCAGTTGAGATTTTGCAATTTTATCCTTCTTTCAAAGAAGATCTGTCAATTCTTGCCTTCCCGTCTACATAGCATTTTTCTAATAATTCGTCGTAGATTTTGAATCCCCAAATGTTATCGAAATCTTATGTTAAAAAATTACTCAATTCTAGATTAGTGCAAGAGATGTTTTATTACACTTTTCTTTCATTTTTTTAGAACACTTGACCTCTCAACTAAAATTTGTTCAAATATGGCGGAATATGGTTATTGTTTTATTATCAGAAGCCTGTTATGTTCGCTATTAATTTACTATGGTATGACCGATTTGTTTCTTTACGTATTATGAATACTTTGCACTTTATTTAAAACAGAAACATATTTCTGATTAAAGGAAATTGTTTATAATACCCGGTTTACTCAAGCGGCCACCCATCTAAGTAACAACCGGGATCAACGCTGCTTAACTTATCGAACCAGCGCCGGTTTTTACGTAGTGATATGACCGTATGAATGTGCAAGGGCACCCGAAACTAAGAATAATATACAGCTATATATGTATGTATGTGTGTATATATATATATATATATATATATATATATGCAATTTTTTATATATATTATTTATATGCGCGGTACTTATTGGAAAGCGCTCAATATCAATGACAGAGTTAACATATTTGGTTGTATTAATGTGAGTTTGAGACCCTGCGTTTCACGCAATTTGCGATCGTCAGACAAACTGTTTATCTGACGGTCGCAAATAGCGTGAAACTCAGGTTACAAACTCGCATCAATCCAACTATATATATATATATATATATATATATATATATATATATATATATATATATATATTAAACCATAAAAAACTTTACATATATATTACAGTTTGTAGATGTTTATTGCCATGATTGTTTCAGAGTGGTTTCCTGTTGTCTTGTCCACGAGGACTTTATTGAGACATCATTTACTTGCTGCTAACCATTACACAGACTCCACGTCCCAGTCATGATAATACCTTATCCAAAAATACCAATAAAAAGGTATTCCAATCTGTTTGGCAATCTGACTAGTGATGGTATCTCGCTCAAAGCACCCATCCTCCAGCAACCAAGTCATGTGAGTTTACAATCTGTCGCAGGTGAAAGTAGCTCAGCATGATTATCATTCTAGACTATTACTAATATAGTGGAGTTGGCTCTCAAATAGATTCCCTTGTGTCAGACTAAGCCAGTTTTAATAAATACGTTTATGTTTGGCCAGCATTTGAGAGACTAGCTATTCAATATTCAACAGCGAATTGCTGTAAACTTGACTTTGGAATGTCACCACAAAAGAGAATCCCTCAGTGAGCATTGAACTCATAATAAAACGCTAACTGCTCGTTGTAATCATAAATCAACTTCGATGAAGCAACTACAAGGGGGTGGGTGACACTATTTTTCAGACACTTTATTTCTTAAAGATTTTAGGTAGCACAGGCAGTCTGTACTGTTTTAGTGTAATGGCAATAACATTTAAAAACTGTTTCAATACTAAAAATGGAAAAGCAGAATTCAAATTAAAAGTATTTTTATTTTTTTTTTTTACAAATTTTCAGATTGCACAGGCGACAGTATTTTTCGGACATTGCAGAAACAATGCTAATAGTTTATGGCAGCACCCTTTTTTTCAATAACTTCTACCAGTCTATCTTCATAATGTTCGTTCATCTTGATAATAACGTCTCTTCGTGTTTCTAGCAGTCTATTTTTAGCATCTTGTATGCGCAGCCACAGTTCAGCCCCTCTGGTTATTTCTGGCCCGTCGTAAACAAGCTGTGCAAGCATTTTCCATATGTTTTCAATTAAATTTAAGTCTGGATTTATTGCAGGCTATTCCAGAGTAGTTATATTTGCTTCACACATCCACTGATTTGGCCACATCGATGATGCAGTTATCTTGCTGCAAAATAAAATTACTTCCCATTTTTTTTCTATGAGTGGTAGGGCTCTCTTTTCCAAAAGTTCTCTGTAGCTCAAGCTATTTTGACGTCCTTTTAACTACTCGAGCCACTAATTTCCATTCGGAAATACCATACCCCAAACCATGACTCCTCCTCCTCCCATTTGTCTCTTGTTGAGAATAACAGGTTCACCTTTTCTCGACCATGTACACCACCCGTCAGGTCCATCGAACTTTTTCATCAGTAAATATCACTTTCTTGAAGTCGACATGGTTTGTTATCCATCTTTTGGCGCTTCCCAGCCTTGCCTCCTTGTGTTTTCTTGTTAGTGTAATTCTTTTCTTGATTTTAGCATACTTAAGTCCAATTTCGTGTAGCTTTCTTTGTACAGTTCGAACACTGACGTCAAGTTCACACTTCTCCTTTACTTCGCTGTCACCTTTTCTCCAGATGATAACAACCTCGTAACACTCCTCTTCATTCTTCTTTCTGTTCTCTTGGAAATTGTTTTTTCCGTCCTTTCTTCCGCTCATAGTCTGTACTTAGCATGTATTCAACTGTTGACTTCGGTAGCTTCCTCTCAAAGCGGCGATCTTTCGGATGCTGAGCCCGTCTTCTCTTTTCTTTTGGACCAAACTGGTGACTTCTTTTGAATGCATTCTTCTTCAGGATTTTAATACGTTTTCGCAGTGAATGGTAAAGATACTCAAATGTAATGGTCAGGGTACAATTTACCTGCAGAAAAAATTGCATATTTAGACGTTTGACGACCAAATCATTAAAAAACCCGGAATGTGTGTCATGTCCGAAAAATAGTGTCGCCTAAGTTGAAGTAAAAATAAAGAAAACATGAAACCAAAGACAAACCCATCAATCAATGTTCATACCATTAATGGACAGTTACTGCTGAACTACCTACTCATCAACACAAAAGCTCTCGGTAGCAAAAAACATCTTTAAGCACATTTTTCAAAATGTCCAAAAATAGTGTCGGCCCCCTGTAGCTCTTTTATTATGAACGTTTTCCACTAACTTGGAACGATTATATTGAATCAATTTTCTAGGTCTGCTGCTAGGAAAGTTGGTTCACTGTGTCGTGTTAGACAATATTTCAAACTCGACTCTTGCAACTTTATAAGACTATAATTCGTCCGTACATCGAATGTTACTGCTAGAACTGATACTTCTGCTATGTATCTATGGTTTTGTGAAAGAAGCAAACAAGAATCCGCAATGTTATCAGTCCTGATCTGGTATCTCGGTTAAAACCACTTTTCACCGCGGTGGCGTAACTTCTCTGTGCCTTTTCGATAAATATTTTAATGGTAATTCTTTTGATGAGCCTTCCTCTTTGGTACTTCGACGTTACGAATCTAAGCGCAGTACTAAATTGGCAGTTAGGTCTCACCATTTTATTGTTGAAATTGCTAAGTATAAGCGTAAGTTCTATGATTATGGTTTCTCATCTACCATTTCTTGCCCGTGGAAGTGTCTTTAGCCTCCTTACATTAAGGTCAACTACGATGTTAAAAACGTAAAAGCAACGTCAGTTTTCATCTTTTGTCTTCTGTCCTGGTCATTCAATGTCCTTGCGTCTTAGTGACTTTATTGCCTTACTTTGAGTGGAAAAAAAGCAATCTTGTGATGTGCAGTGACTATCATGCTGGCTCGAAATTCACCCAAGACAAGATCTTTTTGCCACAGGTATTCCATGAATGCCTGAGTGCTCCCCCCTTTTTTTATTTAAACAATTTTACTATCTTAGATGGAACTTCAAATAGATTATTTCAATTTGTAAAAATAATCCATAAAATAATTCGCATTTTTATACAGATCGGTTGAGTTTCCTTCATTTACGGCTTTTGGTCACTTCTCGTTTAAACGTCGGCTCTCGTACGATCACCGAAGTTATACAACGTCAATCCTGGTCAATACGTAGATAGGTGACCGCTTTGGGATACCAGGCTATACAGGCTTGGAGGTTTAATGCATAAGGGCTCGAGATTGTTAATTGGAGTGCTAAGTTTCAGTTGCTTATGGGTTCGTTATATTCACTTACGCACAAATATAACTGGGAATCCATCTCTTCTCCCCCAACTATGGGTTAAATAATAAAACTTGAATAACATGTGCTGTAAGTTTGAATGTGTGGGTGGTGTAATGGATAATATGTACAATCGCTAACTGAAGAGTCGAATTCCAGTTTCTTTTGGGTTCGCTATCTTCGCTTACGCGCAAATATCGTTGTGAAAGGCATGCATCTATCTTTTCCCCCGGTATGGGTTAATTAGTAAAACTTGTATTACTAAACCATTATTATCTAAAAAAATTCTTACTATCTAAAAATATTTTATGTCTTTAAATAACCTACAAAGTAGGTTATTTAAAGACATAAAATATTTTTAGATAGTACATAATCCATAGAAAACGATTCAATTACTCATAATAATTTTTTAATATATCAATGTAGAGCAAAGAAAGATGGTCATTTTTGTTGTATAGCTAGAGTTTAAATTTAATTTATTTAATTCACAAGAGAAAATGCATTATATTTTTTTAGCAATAATTCAACATTTTAAATCTATAAAAAATACAAAATCTCTAGAAACAACGATAAAAAGATAACCTCTCTTCAACATTCATATGGCTATTTACGAATCTCAACTTACTGAGGGATTTAGGTCGGTTGAGATTAATACTAAAAGCGGATAATACTAATCTTTGGCAGTGATGACATGGCTAAGCCTGTCTAGATAAGAAGCCGTAAGCAAAAATAAATTTCTCCTTGAACGTTACATAAAGGTATGTGTATATTCCACAGCGGTTATCAGCGTGGAAAGTTCAAATCTCAGACCATTATATTTGCTTTCAAAAAATATCATTGGGAAATGGTATTGATCCAACTGTTGTCCTCTCAGCCTGTGATTAAAAGAAGGTTAGCCTGGCCTCTCTAGCTTTGCTTGACAACCAATCTAGGAGAAGGATAATCAAAATCCGTGTGGGTGTGAGACTAGTAACTCCACTCCGTTAAAAACGCCACTTTCTATTTAAACCAAAGCAACACCGTTTATCGTAGTGGGACTAAGGCCCGATACTCCTGAGGGAGTCTACAGAATTAACAACATAGAATTACAAATCTCAACTTACTGAGGGATTTAGGTCGTTTTAGATTAATGCTAAAAGCTGATAAGATTAATCTTTGGCCGTGATGACATGGGTGAGCCTCTCTGGAAAAGAAACTAGAAGCAAAAATAAATTTCTTCTTGAACATTGCATAAAACGCGAAATTATTCACGTATCAATAAACGTGACACAATATTGATTTATTTATTTTTTACGGCTTATCAACCATTTGCAGGTTATTTAAAGCTAGAAAAAAAGATATTTTTAGTTTATAACATTTTTTTTTAAAATAATAACCAATTGTTGGCACAAGTGATACTAATAAACATATAACTGGAGGTTAAAGATGGATTCATACGTTTCGTAAGTAAATTTAACGAACCCGACAAAAATTGGAAGTCGGTATTCTCAAGCGCTCACCTACGCTAGACGTTCCTTAATTTCATTAAACGTACAAGAACTCGTGTTACAACGTGATATGGCCCTAAGCTGTGGCACAAGGATCAACTGAAATTGAGAAAATGTTACATATACATAACTATTCCGACACTCATACACAAATATATATATATTGATGTCATCGAAATGGATCGAGGTCGATCTCAGCATGCGGCACCATTAGAAAGTGCCTGGAAACCATACCACGGGTTGGCCTAAGCCTTGTGAGTGAAATTGGGTAGACGGAACTCTTGAGGGCCGTCGAAAAGCTGTGCTAGCACAAAGCCACAAGTCATCGTGGCCGAGGGCTTGAGCGTATTGCTCAAATTGTTGATCACGCTAGATAACACGTTTTCTCCCAGAAACTGTAACCAATGCCTGTTCAGCATAGTTGCCGTATAAACCACATGTGGGATCTGTGGGTGTTGAGCAAACACAAATGTGCCTGAGTGACGCGGCTGCAATAGGGATTGGCTAGCCCCCCGACTAGTAGACGGGTATCCCCGAATACGAGTGGCATGCTATTATATGTGATTGTGTGTTTTTGCTTTTGTGTGTGTGTATATGTGTGCATTTATAATGGACTCACTGGTCGTTTTCAGAGTGCAACAACTTGTGTTTCTGCATTGAAAAGCTTTGAAGGCTAGCTTGAAACTTCCTTATAAAAGACGAGGAACATCACCCCTTGTGTACGCCGCAGAAATCTATGAGCAGCTTTTATGCGTGACCTCTCAAAAGTTGTTATGCCTTTTATGGACACAACCTTGAGAGGAGGATAAGAAGCCAGTTCCTCAGAGGACGACAGAGGGACGTTGATAGAATTTAAATTTTCTTTGAGTCTATCCTTATAAATCAACCGTAGTCTTTCCAGCTTCCCAGATCTGTCCTGCAGTTGGCTGTACATTTCCGATGTCATTTCCTCACTTGGGCTCATCACATAACCAGCTCATTGAAGTTGCGATTAACAGATTTTTTATCTTCCACACACTCATATATATATAAATTTTGTCTATTTATTTTATGTAAATTCTTAAATGTCTATAATTGGTAACAAAAGCCATTGGTTTATGCCAACGGCTTCCCATAATTAATACTTCTCGTTTTCACTCTCGCGTGGTCATGTGTGACGTCATGAGCTGCAGTGCGATTTTCGCTTCCTGTGTCTCGTTTGCACGAGTTTGTCGTTGCTTGGAAGTCTTCCATATAAACAGAAACAGACTATCATCACTGATGTGTCCGTGTATTGTTTAATATATTGTAATGTAATTGTCATCTTTGATAATGGCTTATGTAAGCCGAAAGCTTAGATAGGATTAAAAATATGTATCAATATTGTGATTTTCTTTCTTCGTTTAATGATAATGTTATTAAGCTTATCAGACGATATGAAAAAAATTTACTTAAAATAAATAGACAACACTTGTCTATATTATTTAATAAAACATGCATCAACACACACAGTGAAAAAAAAATATTTGTATATATGCAAGAAGGAACTAGAGACAGATGACAGCGAGTACCAGCAAACACTCACGTTGTTTGCACAAAGAAGGATTGCGGGACGCGATGTAAAGTGCCTCCA